GATCTTATGGGCCCAACACTTACATTAAGTGGTCCTTGGGCCAAGCCATCTTATAAAAACCYAGGGACTGTGGGHAGRTGCAAGATTAGCCCATCAGGTACTATCCTAAATGGTCTTACACTTAACCTCTCAGCCCTTAATGATCAAGCACTGCCTGACAAGAGATGATCTTTCCCTCGGCTGCAAGGAACAGTGCCACACCCTCTGCTCACTTGGATCCCGGGAATTAAAACCATTTGCAAACATTTTGAAACCGCATAAATATATATATATATATTAATTTTGCAAAACAAAATTCCAACGATTGAAATCAATTGCCAGCAGTTTGGTTTCCATCAGAGATAGTGCATTCCCGATCATTACCTTTGTCCGACAAAAGGGCTGATCCTGTCACTATGATCACCCACTCAGATGAATATGTTGAAATACTATGATCGACCCAACCATTTATAAAGGATCCAGCTCCATGATTATGTTGAAATAAATAATTGGGTCGGTTCCCGTTCTCGCCCCTCCCGAATGGATTCATGCCCAAAACCAATTATTTTGTTAGCCATATATATTAATTACTTCGTTTTCTTATAATTTCTCTCTTTTCATAGGTTTAAAGTGTATAAGTAACTTAGTGTTTTTCTATAAATTTTATTAACGATATATGATTAAAGTTTAAATTTTAGTTTGCGATTTATATAAGAAAAGTTGTTTTTTTTAGCTTAAATGGTTCGGTTTTAAACCTATGTTATTGTTTCAACCTAAATTTTAAGTTAAAATGGACGATTTTGGGTCTAAGGTTTTGTCCCAATTAATGATCTACTCGGGAGTGCTTCTACCTAGACTGGACCCGGATCCCACCCGTTGACAGCCCTATCTTGAATGGCGGCCAATTTCCGGTCGAGCCACCACTCAAAGCTTGATGAGAAATAGTCAGTCACTTATCCGAAGGAATTAAAAGAAAATGGAAGTCCTTTAACCAAGGGATGTGTCAGATATACTTACATTATTAACGAAACCAGAAACAATAGTATGAAGCAATATAGTCGGAATGCCCTCCCCAAAAGTAGAAACACCTCGAGCAATCCAAAAGTACACATTTAACCAGAGCGAATTAGTAGGCCATACACCAAAAAGAGGACACAGAATGAAGTGGAGAGTTGAGAAGCTTACACCGAAGATTGGACCAGCTTCCTCATAGTAAAGCCGTGAGATCTTGCACAGTTTGCCTGCAAATCGAGCATTCCTCATGCCTGCCCATTGGAACCAAGGATATTATGGCCACCTCCACAACCAGCAAACTAATATTCCAATAGTGGACTCCAACGTCACATAGCATTGCCAATTCCGAATCTGTATCACTTCCGAGTCTCCTTTCCGCGCCCACGCCATTCATCTGTCAAGAATATCAAATCAGAAATCGGTGGAGAAAAAAAGGTTTAAGAGTGTATACAGAAGAAATGGGTTGGTGTGTCTCATTCTGGCATCCAGTGTTTGCGAGGCCATGGTTGGTTGCTGCAACAATTCGAACGGTTGAATCAACTCCGCGGACGTAATTTCCTGAAAGCGGAAATGTCGGAATATAACAATCAAGAGGAGTATTAAAAAATTAAGAAATGTTACATGCACAACGACAGGAATAGAGCAATTAGTAACCCACACACCCACAAGAAACATCCAGTCACTCATCTCACGGATTTAAAAGATAAATTCGTGCCTGCACCCATAAGAACCAAGGATATTATGGTCACATCCACAACAGGCAAACTATATATTCCAAAAATGTTAAAATTTAGGGATGTAGACATTTTACAACAAACACATACCCGTGCCGCTTCCGAATCCGTATCACTTCCGAGCCTTCTTTCCACGCCCACGCCATTCACCTGCAAAGAATGTCTAATTAGAAATGGGTGGAGAAGGAAAGGTT